CTGCCTCAGCCTCCCAAGTAGCTGGGACCACAGGCGCCTGCCACCACGCCTGGCCATTTTTTTGGTTGCAGCCATCATTGTTGTTTGGCGAGCCGGGCTGGGGATTCGAACCCGCCACCTTAGGTGTATGTGGCTGGCGCCTTAGCCGCCTGAGCCACAGGCGCCAAGCCAATTAGTATATTTCTATCAGACAATGTTGGATTTCAGGAACCTCAGCTTGCCACAATGACAACAGAAAAGGCATAAAAATGTACTGACTGCTTATGCAACCCCTTAGTTGTGCAGATATTTGATCATGTTTAAGCATTCTAACAGTGCTCCAAATATGGGGACTGTCACCCCCATTTCTCATATGGGGAAACTGAGGGTTGCAGGGATTCAGCTATTTGCCTGAGGCCACCTAGCAGTAAGTCCTAGACTTGGCCAGGCGCGGTGGCTCACACCCGTAATCCTAGCACTCTGGGAGGCCGAGGCAGGTGGACTGCTTGAGCTCAGGAGTTTGAGACCAGCCTGAGCAAAAGCAAGACCCCCTCTCTACTAAAAATAGAAACACTGAGGCAAGAGGATCACTTGAGTTGGAGGTTGCTATGATGCCATGGCACTCTACCCAGGGCAACAGCTTGAGACTGTGTCTCAAAACAAACAAACAAACAAACAAAAAGAGACCCAGACTTGCAGAAGCATCTTGTTCTTGCAAAGGATTTAGGGTAAAGATAGTCCCATGAGGGAAGGAGTAGCTGGGAGAGAAGCAGGGAGGACTTATAGCAAACCATATTTATCAGATGCTCTGCTTGCAAACAGGACCCAGGGGTTGGCTTTTCCCAGCATCCGATACATAGCTGTGTCAGCTAAGTCCAGGTCCTTGCCCCTGAAAAGGCTTCAGTGGGTGTCCTGAGTGATGCTGAGTCACTGTAGGCCAGTGGGTGAATTTTAGGATGAACAGAGCATGGGATATCACAGGGTGAGGATGTTTTATTTTATTCTTGTAACAGTGATACTAATACTGACATCACCTCCATCTTACAGATGGGAAAACTGAGAAGTACAGAAAGTTCATGTGACTTGACCAAGGTTCACAACAGGAAAGGGTAATGCCCTCACAGAGTTTGGGAACATTTTGTTCCCAGTCTCTGATTTTACAAGTGAGGGAAATGAGGCCCAGAGAGGGTTGTGAAGCTGCCCCAAACCACAGCAATCCTGGGAGATTGTGGAAGGTCAGGGTGGCCCCTGGGAGGCCAGGGTGTCCTCAGATGAAATCTCTAAGTCAGTGGTTCTCAACCTTCCTAATGCCTCTTAATGCCACAACCCTTTAATACAGTTCCTCATGTTGTAGTGACCCTCAACCATAAAATTATTTCCGTTGCTACTTCATAACTGTAATTTTGCTATTGTTACGAATTGTAATATAAATATCTGATATGCAGGATGTATTTTCATTGTTACAAAGGTTGAGAACAGCTATCTATGTCAAGCTGTCCCCCACTTTCTAGCAATACTTTTAGGAAAGGAAAGCTGGAGGGGGCGTCCTTCCTTCTTGGTGGAGCTAGCAAGCTTGGGCTTCAGGGAAATGGAAGCTACATTTATTCCATCTGCCCACTTGCCTGGTGTGAGCT